GTTAAGCGTGAACACAGGCGACTAACCGTTTGATCGCAAGCGGCTGACGGCAGCAGCGCGATAAACTGTGGTGTAGTATATTGTCAAAAATTCCTCAGTCTGTATAATTGTTTCTATGCTTTTCTTTCAATGCAATGTTGTATTACTGAATGATGTGAATGTGAGGTGGTTTTAAAGTGGGGTTTTTGGGTTGCGTAGCAACCTTATACATTCGTTTTCACTTTTCGGTTGGCTGATGTGAACATTGAATTTCTTTTATATTATAAATTTTGAAAGAAATCACTGTTCACATAGCTTCCCCAAAAAAATGAAAACAAATGTTTCCAATCATTCCATAATCGTCGATAAGTACGGCGAATGGAACAATTGGAGAATCTTTCTAGCACTAAAGATGATACGGTACCCAATGATGTTACCACTGGGCCCCCAGAGGGGTCAGCCAGTGAGACTGGGACAGGTGCTGTGAGTGGTGTGACTGTGGTGCAATCACGGAAGAAGCAACGTGACGCGCCGGAGTCAAGCGTGAAAGTGTGCAAGACCTCAGCTGAGGCAGGACCTGTGGTAGTAGACGCACTAGCAACTAGAGCGTCGGTAGACTCACGGGCACCTAGAGCTGCAGCAGACTCACTAAAACCTGGAGTGGCAGCAGACCGACTAACACCTGGAGTGGCAGCAGACTCACTAACACCAAGAGCAGCGGTCTTAACAGAACGATAACCTCCACCACCAGGACTACCTCGCTGAATAACCCACTCACGAAGCTGCCGAGGGGTGGATTCGTCCGGGAGAAGCAGTGCCCGCTGCTGTCCACCCCTGGCCGCAGCGACTGCCGCGGAAGTGGCCATGACAGACAGTGACTGTCAGGAGTAGGTCCAGCACCTCCAGCTCCTACAGCGCCAACAGCACCTCCTACACTCCCAGCAGCACCTCCTCCACTCCCAGTAGCACAAGTAGCAGCAGCAGCAGTAGTTACAGCAGCAGGGCGGTTCGGTGGGGGTGGGAGGCCGCACCTCCACCACTCCCAGCAGTACTCCCTCCAGTAGCAGCAGTAGCAGGGCGGCTCGGGCAGCAGCAGCAGACCGAGCAGCAGCAGCAGCAGCAGTAGACCGAGTAGCACTAGCTGTAGCAAGTGCAGTAGTAGGAGCTGCAGCAGTAGTACTAGCTGTAGCAGCAGTAGCTTCAGTCAAGCAGCAGTAGCTTCAGTCAGGAGCAGCTGTAGCAAGTGCTGGAGTAGGAGCTGCAGCAGTAGCACTAGCTGTAGCAAGTGAAGTAGTAGGAGCTGCAGCAGTAGTACTAGCTGTAGCAGCAGTAACTTCAGTCAGGAGCAGCTGCAGTAAGTGCTGGAGTAGGAGCTGCAGCAGTAGCACTAGCTGTAGCTGGAGTAGCTTCAGTCAATAGTAGCTGTAGCAAGTGTTGGAGTAGGAGCTGCAGCAGTAGCACTAGCTGTAGCAGCCGTAGCTTCAGTCAGTAGCAGCTGTAGCAAGTGCGGTAGTAGCAGCAGCAGCAGTAGCACTAGCTGTAGCAGCACTAGCTTCAGTAGCAGCAGCAGTGAGTAGCGCTAGCTGTAACAGGAGTAGCGTCAGTAGCAGCAGCAGTGAGTAGCGCTAGCTGTAGCAGCAGTAGCAAGGAGGAGCAGCTGCAGCAAGTAGCAGCAGCAGCAGCAAGGAGGAGCAGCTGCAGCAAGTAGCAGCAGCAGTTTCAGGGTAGTACAGGCGGCAGCAGCACTGCAGCAGCAGTTCAGGCGCAGCAGTGTAGCAGCAGCAGCGAGTGCAGCAGTAACACGGGCCGCGTGCGGGCCAGGCGCGGGCTATAAGGGCTGCGTGCGGGCCTGGCGCGGGCTTTACGAGCTGGGTGCGGGCCTGACGTGGGCTGTACGGGCTGCGCGACGGCCTGGCGCAGGCTGTACGGGCTTCGCGACGGGCCTACGCGGGCTGTACGGGCTTCGCGATGTGAAAATAGTAGGAAGAAGAGGGTTGCACTAGCAAGAATGAGGATACAAATAGCAAACCCTAGAAGGGTTGTACTCGCTATAGAGCACCCCACTACAGGCTAGAGCATAATATTCTGACACACCCCCATAGCCAAAGTGGGGTGTAATCAGCAGAGCAAGCAAAGCAGTACAAGCTCAGGGTGGATCACAATGTCACCACACATTCTGAGCACAAGTTCAAGAAGCAATAGTTTAAAGTTCACAATTATGAGCAAAGCTAGTGGTAGTCACAACGGGCAAGTGAGGAGGAGGAAAGAGACTATGAGAGGAGAGGAGGTAGTGGGCGGCAGCTGAAGCTGCTGGCACACGGCGCAACTGGAGCAACTGGCACACGGGCAACTGGAGCAACTGGCACACTGGCAACTGGAGCAACTGGCACACGGGCTACTGGAGTAACTGGCTCCGCGGCTAAAAGTAGCGGCAGACGAGCAACGGACTCACGTGCGACTGGAGCAACGGGCTCACGGGCGACTGGCGCAACGGGCTCACGGGCGACTGGCGCAACGGTCTCACGGGCGACTGGAGCTGCTGGCTTCACGGCGGCCACCCCCTTCAACCTCCCCAAACTATCCCACTCCCCCTGACACACACCCGCTGTTACACCGCTAGCTCCACTCCCCCTTCACCCCCCCTTAGTACCACTCCAACGGCTCCAACAAGTCCACCCCCCTTCAGCGGCAGCTGCAGCACAGGGAGACGGAGGAGGAGGAGGAGCAGGGAACGGCACACAGTGGCTTCACCCCCATACCCCTCACCCCCAAACCCTAATTCAGGAGAACGGGCTGTAGGAGGGGTGGGGCGCCAGTAGAAGCACGGGGGACAGCGGGGAGGGCAGGGGCAGCGAGGAAAGGGCCGCCCACGGGCCTGGCACAGCCGCCCGAACCGCGCGCAGGCGGCCCGAGCCGCGCGCGGGCCTGGCGCAGCCCGTACGGGCCGCGCGCGGGCCTGGCGCAGCCCGTACGGGCCGCGCGCTGGCCTGGCGCAGCCCGTACGGGCCGCGTCCGGGCCTGGCGCAGCCCTTACGGGCCGCGCGCAGCCTGTACGGGCCGCGCGCAGGCCACGACGGGCGACGGGGGGCGACGCGCGGGTCCCCGTCGCCCGTCGCAGCGCCTCCCGAGGGCGACGCGCCGAGTGACGGGGCAGAAGCCCGCCGCGCGCCTCGGGGCGCACAGCAGGCAGAGAACCGCCGCGCGCCACGGGGCGCACGGCGGGCAGAAAACCGCCGCGCGCCTCGGGGCGCACGGCGGGAAGAAAAACTGCCGCACGCCACGGGGCGTGCGGCACAGAGGGTAGCAGTGGAAGTTGCAGCGGAAGCAACGAGGTGGTGAGCCCACCCAGAGGATCGATCCAAGGGGATCGACCTGCTCTGATAGCATGTGAAAATTTAAAAGGAAGAAGAGGGTTGCACTAGCAAGAATGAGGATACAAATAGCAAACCCTAGAAGGGTTGTACTCGCTATAGAGCACCCCACTACAGGCTAGAGCATAATATTCTGACACGCGACGGGCCTACGCGGGCTGTACGGGCTTCGCGACGGGCCTACGCGGACTGTACTGGCAGCTAAGGCGCGGTCAGGGGGGGTCGCACGTGACTAGGAAGGAAAATCGCGTCTAGGGCAGAAAAAGGAACCGTCTCGCCTAGAGCACGGTTTCGAATTTCGCGTTTCTCCTAGGGGCGCGACTCGGGCAGTAGATCGAAATAGTAGTGGTGGGCCCTTTTAAACATTCGGTCCTAAGGAGCATTGTGCTCTTAATACCATGTTAGAATCACTAGTAGCTAGGTGAGGAATGATGATTAGGTGAGGGAGAGGGGGTACAAGAGTGTCGAGAGAGTTGGGTTGTACCCTCTAAGGTGTGACCCTACACAACCTAGAGTAAGAACATAACAATATGTTTTGACAAATGACACACGAACACAAAGGACAACACATAAAATACTACAGTACCACCGAGAGACACACATACACAAATGACCACAAAAACGATGGTGTACAAGAACCGTCGTACATGTTTTGAAGGGAATACTAAATGCATCAATGCAACAACTGAGACTGATATGGTACAGAAGAGGCGAGCAAAGCTGCCCCACCGACGATCACAATCCCAGTTGCATACACGAGACACTTAGCACCACACCCCCGAAACAAGCACAGACGATAACACATAAAATATTACAAAAACATAAGACAGCGTTTAAGAATGTTTCAAAGCGAATGCTAAATGCATCAGTGCTGCAACTGAGATTGATATGGTACGGAAGAGGCGAGCAAAGCTGCCCTACCGACGATCACAATCCGAGTTGCATTCAGGAGGCACTTAGCACCACACCCTGAAGCACGCACAACACACGTATGCACATGTACGCACTCACACATACAGGCTCACACATGTACAGACACACACAACGCAAAAACATACAGCTACTGTAATAAGCATGCAAGCATAATGAATGAATTTCAGCCTTGTATAAATCATCACTATCCTGTCCCCCGTTCCCCTCCCTCCCTCCCTCCCTCCCTTCCTCATTTCCCTCATCTCCCTTCTCCCCATCCCTTTTCTCCGCAAGAAACAAAGGCTGCAGCTTGAACTCCCTGCACAGGAAAGAAAAATCAGGGAATGCAACTCACTCCCTGCACAAACAAGAACAAAATCAGAGAATACAACTTGCATTAATTGCACAAGAAAACAAAATCCGAGAATGCAGCTTCCTTGATGCACAAAAAAACAAAGTAAGCGCAACAGAAATTCACGCGCAAACTCCCACGTTCTCTCACGCGCTCCCTCATGCGCAAACTCGCGCGCTCTATCGCGCGCACTCTCCCACGCGCTCTTTTGCACACAATCTTGCGCGCTCTCTCTTCCGCACTCTCACGCGCTCTCTCGCGCACTCTCTCGCGCACTCTCTCGCGCACTCTCTCACACACTCTCACGTGCTCCCTCACGCGCTTTCTCACGTGCTCCCTCCCGCGCTCTCTCACGCAATCTCTCATTCGCACTCTCACGCGCACTCTCACTCACGCGCTCCCTCGCACGCTCTCTCAGGCGCGCTCGCTCTCACGGGCTCTAACACGCACTGTCACGCGCTCTCTCACGAGGAGAGCAAAAAACAAACAAACAAAAAAAGAAGAAGAAAAAGTTTTTTTCAGAGGGAGGAGGGAGGATGAAAGGACCGGGAACGCACCAGATAACCACGGTAACTCAGAAAACAACCCGGGCTCGCGCACCAATCCGCGCTCGCGCACCAACTCGCGCTTGCGCTCGTGCACCTGTCGCCGGAAGCGACGGCGGGGAGGAGGAAGAGGCGACGGCGGGGAGGAGGGAGAGGCGACGGCGGGGAGGAGGGAGCGGCGACGGCGGGGAGGAGGGAGAGGCAACCGCGTGGAGGGAGAGGGGACGGCGGGGAGGAGGGAGAGGCGACGGCGGGGAGGAAGGAGCGGCGACGGCGGGGAGGATGGAGCGGCGACGGCGGGGAGGATGGAGCGGCGACGGCGGGGAGGAGGGAGAGGCGACGGCGGGGAGGAGGGAGAGGCGGCGGCGAGGAGGAGAGAGAGGCGGCGGCGGGGAGGAGGGAGAGGCGGCGGCGGGGAGGAGGGAGAGGCGATGGCGGGGAGGAGGGAGAGGCGACGGCGGGGAGGAGGGAGCGGCGACGGCGGGGAGGAGGGAGAGGCGACGGCGGGGAGGAGGGAGAGGCGACGGCGGGGAGGAGGGAGAGGCGACGGCGGGGAGGAGGGAGAGGCGACGCGGGGAGGAGGGAGAGGCGACGGCGGGGAGGAGGGAGAGGTGTCAAACATTATATATGTTGTGTTAGTTTAGGCTACAGTGGGTTAGCCTATAGGGGGTACACAATTCTAGGGTTAGGTACTTGTACTCTTTTCATTGCTAGTTCATCCATTCCTGTTCAGTGATTCCAACATGGTATAGAGCAGGTCCTTCCTAGGACCGAAATTTTCTAAGGGCCCACCACTACGTAACTACCTACCTACCTACCTACCCGTGCCCTAGGGCGCCTCGGCGTGTCACGCCCCTAGAGGCCCCTCTTGACGGCCCCGCGCTAGCCCCGTTCAGGCCCCGTCGGCCCCTTTAAGGTCCCGTTCAGGCCCCGCGCTAGCCCCGTTTAGGCCCCGTCGGCCCCGTTTCAGGCCCCGTCGGCCCCACGCTAGCCCCTCTCAGGCCCCGTCGACCCGCGCTAGCCCCGTTTCAGGCCCCGTCGGCCCCTTTTCAGGCCCCGTCGGCCCCGCGCTAGCCCCTCTCAGGCCCCGTCGGCCCGCGCTAGCCCCGTTTCAGGCCCCGTCGGCCCCGTTTCAGGCCCCGTCGGCCCCGCGCTAGCCCCTCTCAGGCCCCGTCGGCCCGCGCTAGCCCCGTTTCAGGCCCCGTCGGCCCGCGCTAGCCCCGTCTCAGGCCCCGTAGGCCCCGCGCTAGCCCCTCTCAGGCCCCGTCGGCCCCGCGCTAGCCCCATTCAGGCCCCGATCGGGCCCGCGCTAGCCCCGTTTCAGGCCCCTTCGGCCCCGTTTCAGGCCCCGTCGGCCCCGCGCTAGCCCCGTTCAGGCCCCGTCGGCCCCTTGCTAGCCCCGTCCAGGCCCCGTTTGGCCCCGCGCTAGCCCCGCTCAGGCCCCGATCGGCCCCGCGCTCGCCCCTCTAGGGCCCCAACCGGCCCCGTGCCTACCTCGCCGACCCGTGCCCACCACCCAGAGGCCCCGGGCGGCCCGTTCCCGCCGCAGCACAAGAGGGAGAGCGGGCGGCCCGTCCCCGCCGTGACCTGAGCCGAGCCGCGCGCCCCGAGCCGAGCCGCGCCACCCAGCCGAGCCGCGACCCGACCTGAACCGAGCCGCGCCGCCCTGCCCTACCTGGTTCGTCCTACCTGCTTCTCCTACCGCTACTGCTGCTATTTCTACTGTTCCTATGGCTAGCCCACAGGTTCTCGTGTTCGATGCTGAGGGCCGCCCTGTGAAGTTTGACACCTGGCTCGATGACCTGCACCTCTACCTACAGCTCACAGCCAAGGATGACATCTCACTGTACGATCACGCCCTAGGCCTTGTCACTGCCCCTGCTGCTACTGCTGACAGCACTGCTCGCTCACAGTGGCAGACTCGTGATGCCCACGCTCGCTTCGCCATTCGCAACTCCCTGCCGATAGACGAACGCGAGCACTTTGGTCAGCACAAGACTGCACCGGCACTGTACACAGCTGTAGTTGCTCGCTACTCCTCACCTGCCTCTGCCGCACTAGGCCGTCTCTCCCTCCCCTACCTGTTTCCCGACCTGGCCTCCTTTCACACAGTCGCTGACCTCATCACGCACCTCCGTACTAGTGAGGCCCGCTTCCGTGCCGCCATGCCTGCTGAGTTCCTTGCCACGCACCCCCCTCCACTCTGGCTCACTCTCTATCACCTAGTCACCCGCCTCCCTGACACACTGCGTGCTGTCAGGGACCACTTCCTAGCTCGTTGCCCCACTGAGCTCACCATTGCCCTCCTCGAGAAGGAGCTACTTGCAGCTGAGGCTAGCATAGTCGCTGTAGGTGCCTCTCGTGGCGACCCCCGTACCCCGTTCTTTGAGGGGTGTTCTCCTTCCCCCCTTCTTCCCTCTGTCGCCTCTGCTGCTGCTGTCGACCTTCTTGGTACTGAGAAGGTCGGCGCTGCGTCTGCCTCGAGCGGACGCCGCAGCGGCAAGGGCAAAGGGGGCAAGGGTAGTGGCGGTGACGGCGGGGGAGGCGGCGGTGGGGGCGGTGGAGGCAGTGGGGGTGGTGGCTCGGCTGGAGGGGCGAGTGGTAGAGGTGGGGGTGGTGGCGGCAGCGGCGGGGGAGGTGGCAGGAGTGGAGGCGGCGGTTGGGGTGGCGGTGGACGAGGCGGCGGCAGGGGTTGGGGTGGTCGAGGAGGTGGCAGCGGTGGTGGTGGCCGTGGAGGCGCTGGCGGTGGCCAGGGCCAGCAGCACACTCTCTCGCCCCAGGAGGTCCGTGAGTGGTACTCTCAGCACGGGGGTGGGGGTGGTCTTAGCTGCACGTACGTCATTCGCACTGGTGACCGCACTGGTCAGCAGTGTGGACGACCGCACGCCACACAGCGCTGCTTCTCTCGTCTCGACGACGCTTGGCGTGTTCAGTTCCCTCAGGCCACTGAGCTGCCCCGCTGGCTTGATCTCCTGAAGAAGGGGATTGATATCTATGCTCTAGACTTTGATGCTATTCTATCTGCCATGTATGTGATGTCTACTAGTGGAGAGGGTGCTGAGTACTTGTGTGTGCGGCCCGACCCGGGCATTAGGGCCAGTGCGTCTGCCGCTCCAGGTACTCACGTGTCGGCTACCCCAGGTGCTGGTGAGGCTGCTGCTCTAGGTGCTCGTGTGTCTCCCCCCCTTGGTACTGCGTCGACTGCCGCACTGCACACCTTCACACTGGACTCAGGTGCTTCTCGCTGCTTCTTTCGTGACCGCACTGCCCTTGAGCCGCTTGCTCGACCAGTTGCTGTCTCCCTTGCTGACCCCTCTGGGGGTCCGGTCATTGCGACCTCTTCCACTGTCCTTCCCTGCCCTGCGGTCCCGTCGGGCACACTGTCAGGTCTCCACCTCCCCTCGTTCTCTACGAACTTGGTGGCAGGCTGTGCACTCCAGGACGGGGGTGTTCACCAGTTCACCCCTGCCTACGAGCGCGTGACACACTGCACGTGTGCTTGTACGGGCCGTCACTTGGCTACCTTCACTCGGCAGCCGGGGTCGGACCTGTACACACTGACTACTGAGTCCCCTCAGGTTGCTGCGACTGCGTCCGCGTCCGCGTCAGGTCAGCTGTCCGCCCCCTGCTCGTGTCGCTCTTTGGCACACGAGACTGTCCTCTGGCACCACCGCCTTGGCCACCCGTCTGTGCAGCGGCTTCGTGCCATGCACTCCAGGTACCTTGTCTCTGGCCTGCCCAGGGTCCTTCCTCCCCTCCCACCCTCGCCTGCTCCTACCTGTCTCCCCTGTGTCGAGGGACGGCAGCGCGCCGCTCCTCACTCCTCCTCGTTCCCCCCGACGACTGCTCCCTTGCAGACACTCCACATGGACGTGTGGGGCCCAGCCCGCGTCCGTGGTCAGGGTCAGGAGAGGTACTTCCTGATAGTTGTTGACGAATACTCGCGCTACACCTCGGTCTTCCCCTTGCGCACCAAGGGTGAGGTCCCTGATGTCTTGATCCCTTGGATCCGCCGAGCCCGTCTCCAGCTCAGCGAGCGTTTTCACTCGGACTTTCCTGTCCTGCGCTTGCACTCTGACAGAGGTGGTGAGTTCTCCTCCGACCTCTTGGCAGCCTACTGTGCTGAGCACGGCATTGAGCAGTCGTTCACGCTTCCGGCTTCTCCACAGCAGAATGGGGTTGCGGAGCGCCGCATTGGCCTGGTCATGGAGGTCGCCCGTACCTCCTTGATCCATGCGGCTGCCCCCCACTTTCTGTGGCCGTTTGCGGTCCGGTACGCTGCGCATCAACTCAACCTCTGGCCCCGTGTCTCCTTGCCGGAGACCTCGCCCACGCTACTGTGGACGGGGGAGGTTGGCGATGCGTCGCGTTTCCGGGTCTGGGTGTCTCGAGCTTTTGTCCGCGATTCGTCTGCGGACAAGCTCTCCTCCCGTGCTGTTCCCTGCGTCTTCCTCGGCTTTGTCCCGGACGCGTCTGGTTGGCAGTTTTACCACGCCACCTCGCGCCGAGTCTTGCCCTCCCAGGACGTCACTTTTGACGAGTCCGTCCCCTACTACCGCCTCTTCCCCTACCGCACTGCCCCGCTCCCCCCCCTGCCTCTCTTCCTCTCGCCAGGTGCTGCTGTTGCAGACCCCCTCCCCCCTCAGGGTGCCGCTCCCTCAGGTGTGTCTCAGGTAGACCCGGTTGAGCCTGTTGAGGTAGCTGTCGACTCTCGTCCTGCTGGGGGTGCTGAGCCTGGGGGTGCTGAGCCTGGGGGTGTGGAGCCTGGGGGTGTGGAGCCTGGGAGTGTGGAGCCTGGGGGTGTGGAGCCTGGGGGTGTGGAGCTTGAGGGTGCTGAGCTTGGGGGTGTGGAGCCTCGTGGTACTGAGCTGCGGAGTCCGGAGTCTGGGGGTTCTGCGTCTGGAGGTACGAGGTCTGGGAGTCCTGCACCTGGAGGAGCCCTCTCCTCGGAGCAGCTACGTGCGTGGTACTTAGAGTACTGCAGCCTCCGGAGAGGTACCGCTCGAGCCGGACGTACTACTGGGACTGGTACTAGTACTTCTTCTCCCGTTCGGGAGCTCCCCTCCCGCGAGCGGATCCGTGAGTGGTACGAGCGGCGCTGCACTCTTCGGAGTGGCGTGCCTCGTGTTACGAACCCCGCTGCTGTTGGAGCTGCTGCTGGTGCTGAGGACCCGGGCGTTGGAGCTGCTGCTGGTGCTGAGGACCCGGGCGTTGGAGCTGCTGCTGGTGCTGAGGACCCGGGCGTTGGAGCCGCTGCTGGTGCTGAGGACCCGGGCGTTGGAGCTGCTGCTGGTGCTGAGGACCCGGGCGTTGGAGCTGCTGCTGGTGCTGAGGACCCAGGCGTTGGAGCTACTGCTGGTGCTGAGGACCCGGGCGTTGGAGCTACCGCTGGTGCTGAGGACGTGGGCGCTGGAGCTGCTGCTGGTGCTGCGGACCCTGGTGCGGGTGTCCCCGCTGGCTCTGGTGTCGCTGCTCGGTCTCAGCCGTACTTTGTTCCGCTCCTTCAGCAGGTTCTTGGTCAGCTTCCTCCTCCTTTTCCTCCTCCCTCCTTAGAGTGTCCTCAGCCTGTCCAGCTGCAGTCGGCGTTACCGTCTGCCTCCTCTCTCCTTGGTCCTGCTCCTT